AGGGTTGGGGGGCGTTCAACCGATTCTTCGGATATGTTTGATTATTCGGAGGTTTCCGCCGAACCATCACTTACCTCATAAAGTCAATGCATAACATTGACCGAAATTTCGGACGCCATAAAGCTTATTGCTGGATATTTCGGACATAAGGTAATTTGCATGATTCTCTCAGCTTACAGCCACAAAACAGCCGCCGCGATAGCACCGCCATTTTGGTTGTATTGAATGGGTTAAAACAGCGCAGAAAGACGAAGGACCAGTAAAAGAAAACACACAGACACAGCGCTGTGTCTGTGTGTTTTCTTTTCAGCGCTGTGTCTGTGTGTTTTCTTTTACTGGTCCTTCGTCTTTCTGCGCTGTTTTAACCCATTCAATATGACCATCAACCAACTCGCCCAACTTTCCACCTTGTTGCCATTTTGGTTGTTTCGATTTTGCTCGGTAGCCTCGATACCACGTTTTACGCAATAAACAAGCTGGGTTGAGGCTATAGTCGGGTTTTCCGGATTCGGTATTCGCTACTCCAACTATAGGTGGCGCCACTCATTTTCCAAAATGGCGGTTATAGTGAGGAACTCTAGAGGCAAAGGTCCGCCATTTTCCCTTACATTCTGGCTGCCGCAAGCGGCGGATCATGCAGGCAGACCCTCGGGGTCCCAAACACGGTTACATCATCAGAGCAGTTTCGTGAACTTCAACAATCCACGAACTTACCGGTGGAAAGATATTCACGTTCCTTTCGAAGCTTTCTTTTTGCATAGCGCGCAGATGTACAGCCTCGCGTTAACGCTAAACTAAACCATATACCCGGCTTCGCCGGTGGGGCGCGGCTGGGCGCGGTTGAGGAATACGAAACTGCGCAACAACCAGATTTCCGAGATTTCGACAGAAGGGAAGTTAATGCAGCGTAATGAGTTTATTGCTTTTTATAAGCGTTAGAATAGCTCAGAATTTAGTTTACAACGTTAAATTATCACTGTTTATATTGCTAAGAGTTTTCACTCTTCGTGTTTACCATGGCAACGTTGCTTTCTTTCTCTCGTGTTCTGTCGCTCTCTTTTGCGATCGTTCACTCGGGACCCAGGATGTCGGCGCACGGGATTTGCCACTCCTCCTCACCCACCTTTACCCCCCTGAGTGAGGGTCGGAGATGCGTGCCGCTGTTGAGCCTGTCTAGTGTGCTGGTTTTACTGAGCGACACAAATTATTTCTAGTAATACGAGGAAGCTAGGGTGTTATGGGCGCAGGTCACCTCTTTACCCTGAAAACAAGAACGGTGTTTAGCGCAATATTTACGCAAGGATGCGCATTTTAATTCTGGAGTGAAACCGAAACTAATCCTTATTTTGGATTTAATTTCTCAGTATAGGCTTTATTTTCGGATTCTTTCATATCTCAATATGTGTTTCACATCGTAATTATTTAGTTGAACAAGTTGTTCGCCGAAATTTTATTTTGTAACATACAAGTTTCAATCCATGCTGATAGTTGTAGTTTTTGAAAAAATCGGTGCTGATATTTGTGCGTTCTCGCTGCCTTTTCTTGCTCAGATAATTGCCATGGGAAATAATGAACTGTGGGCCTTTTAATAAGTTTTTGGGTATTTAGACGATTAATTGGTTTATAGCCTCAACCCAGCACAAAAATGAAGAGAATTCCAATTTTTACAATATGTCCACAAACCGTATAAATTAATAAACGCTGTTCTCACTGCAACAACCCAAAGACGGAATCCGAGTCAAACAGCTGAAGTGTCTATGTGTGTGTGCGTGTTTTTATAGCCACGTGCGGCGCATAGGATTTCATATTGCATCCAGTGTTTGAATGTTTGTCTATCTTGATAACGATGTCAGAGTTTTTATATGCTAAAAAGAAAACAATATTATACCTTTCTGGAAAGACTATTATGGTTAAATGGCTATTTTTGTGATCTTGGCATTAACTGGGGGCCTACATTGTCGCGATTAGTATTAATAATAATATTAAAATTCAGATATTGTAATACGTAATTTTTTCAAGCATTGCTTATGATCTAATTTCAAACGCGAGAACAAATACGACAACCAAAAGTGTGCTAATCATCGTCACTGGTGCCAACTGCAGCATTTTTAATTACCAAGTAATAAAGTAAAATGGTCCAAAGTCAATGAAAGCATTTTAGCTAATGTGAGAAATTCATGTAAAATTACATTAACTGTGTTTAAAGTATTTTTTTCTATCAGAGTCGCGACTTTTGACAATCGGCACAACGTAAGTCGCCGCCAATATCCTTCCAGACCAAATGCCCAAAAAATATTTTTTTAATTATTACTTTTTCTTATAACATTTAGTTACTTTCATTTTTACGCTCCGTCGTTTTGCGAATCTCAGCCTTTCGAGTTCGAAGGAACGCCTACCTGCTTGCATGTCTGCTCACTGCAGCACGTTTCGTTGGCGTTGGAAGGCGGTGAAACAGTTGCGAGTTGTAGTATTGCGTATACGAGCGAACGCAGGTGCTCTGTGTTTGCGTTAGCTTTTTGTGTGCCACACTGCGCATGCACGGAGCCCAAAATTGCTGTCTTGGATGGCGCATGGTGATGACACGCACGCACAACGTGGGGCACGCAACTCTAACGCAAACGCACACCGCTTGCGTTTACTTCTATGCGCAATACTAAAACTCTCCAGTAAGGTACAATCCCGTAATGGCTGCAGCACTACGTTGGGACAGTGAAGAGTGTTGTTTGCATTCGGAAATAACATTTCGCGAGCCATGATCGCGAGCAGTTCCGCCGTGCCTGCTGAGCAGGAGAATCGGGGGACCCTCACTAGAGCGCTTCCCGTTTCCGCCGCGGGAGGGCGAGCGTCAAGCTGGAGATGCGGATAGCCAACATGGCCGCCATCTGCCCATTCTTATGGTTCTTCCAGTCGTCCTTGTGGTCTGTGTTTCTCGGGAACGACCGCAAGAAGAGCGGCTGTTTGCCATTCCTGTGGTCTTTGAGCGCAAAGGTTTTGTACCGATATGCTTAGTATTGAAGCAAGTTTGGTGGAGTACACAATGTCATCAAAAAGTGCCAAATGGCGCCTACTTCAACTCTGCTGTTTGTGCCAACGAAGGTGCCGACAAAGCGCAGCACCATGATTAAACAGATCAACAAACAAGTCAAAAGTGAACTATATAAAGCGGAAGTTGCACGGGAACTGAAAATTAACATCAAACAAGTAGAAAATGGTTAATACACAGCGGAATATGCACGGAAATTCGATAATTTGGCTGAAATCGATTTTTCTAACCATTTGGTTATTCAAACAATTTTGGGGTCCCCTCAGAGTCCGAAAAATCGGTCGGCAACAGCATCCGATTCCTTTGGACAAATCACAATCGTTCTGAAAAGCTCTAATTCACAGTTCACAGAAAAAGAGGCAAAGAAGACGCCAACTGGAATCGAGCAAAGGTTAAAAAAAAGAAACACAAATTGTGAGGAACTTCCCGTGCAAGTTGCACCGGAACTGAAAATTAACATCAAACAAGTAGAAAATGGTTAATACACAGCGGAATATGCACGGAAATTTGATAATTTGGCTGAAATCGATTTTTCTAACCATTTGGTTATTCAAACAATTTTGGGGTCCCCTCAGAGTCCGAAAAATCGGTCGGCAACAGCATCCAATTCCTTTGGACAAATCACAATCGTTCTGAAAAGCTCTAATTCACAGTTCACAGAAAAAGAGGCAAAGAAGACGCCAACTGGAATCGAGCAAAGGTTAAAAAAAAGAAACACAAATTGTGAGGAACTTCCCGTGCAAGTTGCACGGGAACTGAAAATTAACATCAAACAAGTAGAAAATGGTTAATACACAGCGGAATATGCACGGAAATTTGATAATTTGGCTGAAATCGATTTTTCTAACCATTTGGTTATTCAAACAATTTTGGGGTCCCCTCAGAGTCCGAAAAATCGGTCGGCAACAGCATCCAATTCCTTTGGACAAATCACAATCGTTCTGAAAAGCTCTAATTCACAGTTCACAGAAAAAGAGGCAAAGAAGACGCCAACTGGAATCGAGCAAAGGTTAAAAAAAAGAAACACAAATTGTGAGGAACTTCCCGTGCAAGTTGCACGGGAACTGAAAATTAACATCAAACAAGTAGAAAATGGTTAATACACAGCGGAATATGCACGGAAATTCGATAATTTGGCTGAAATCGATTTTTCTAACCATTTGGTTATTCAAACAATTTTGGGGTCCCCTCAGAGTCCGAAAAATCGGTCGGCAACAGCATCCGATTCCTTTGGACAAATCACAATCGTTCTGAAAAGCTCCAATTCACAGTTCACAGAAAAAGAGGCAAAGAAGACGCCAACTGGAATCGAGCAAAGGTTAAAAAAAAGAAACACAAATTGTGAGGAACTTCCCGTGCAAGTTGCACCGGAACTGAAAATTAACATCAAACAAGTAGAAAATGGTTAATACACAGCGGAATATGCACGGAAATTTGATAATTTGGCTGAAATCGATTTTTCTAACCATTTGGTTATTCAAACAATTTTGGGGTCCCCTCAGAGTCCGAAAAATCGGTCGGCAACAGCATCCAATTCCTTTGGACAAATCACAATCGTTCTGAAAAGCTCTAATTCACAGTTCACAGAAAAAGAGGCAAAGAAGACGCCAACTGGAATCGAGCAAAGGTTAAAAAAAAGAAACACAAATTGTGAGGAACTTCCCGTGCAAGTTGCACGGGAACTGAAAATTAACATCAAACAAGTAGAAAATGGTTAATACACAGCGGAATATGCACGGAAATTTGATAATTTGGCTGAAATCGATTTTTCTAACCATTTGGTTATTCAAACAATTTTGGGGTCCCCTCAGAGTCCGAAAAATCGGTCGGCAACAGCATCCAATTCCTTTGGACAAATCACAATCGTTCTGAAAAGCTCTAATTCACAGTTCACAGAAAAAGAGGCAAAGAAGACGCCAACTGGAATCGAGCGAAGGTTAAAAAAAAGAAACACAAATTGTGGCTGGACGCTTTTTTTTATGCATTGTTCATGTTTGTCAGGTAGTTCCTAATCTCCGTGCACAGCTTGTCCCTGGGAACTTCGAACTGAAACAGAGGAGAAAGAAATGGACACATGTAAGTGTACGGTAAACTCGCGTTATTTCCACCTCGGTTAATTTATCGTTTAATTCGATCGCGTTCGAAAGTCCCGGCGGGTGCCAACGCAATTCCCGAAATGCCAATCGCATTAAAGGAGTACAGACATCAAATCTGATGTCTGTGTCGAATTTAACGACGCCACGTTGATGGTGTCACCTGAGCATCGTCTGCCAAGTTTAGCAGATGGTGTTTGGGCAAATTTATCGGAAAGTGTTAAATTTGACGAATGTGTCACTGTTTTTCCTCGTATCTCGGTACTTTCCTCGTGGGCCCTTGAACACGTTCCATGTAAAAAGGCCAACGACCAGACCCGAGACTCTGCAAGGCAGAAGATCCTCCTCCCCATGGGGGAGGAGGAAAGAGGCAACGGTGGACCGGGTAGAAGGGGGAGAGGAGGAAGCGAGGGAAAAGTGGAAAACGTGAACTGGTCGTCGGTCTTTAAGAAAGAGTTTTAGTGGATCATTCAGACGACTCCGAGAACAATACCCGTCGACGCCTTTGAGCATGCGTCGTGTCGTTACCGGGTAACGTAATCGGAGGTGTCGAAACAGCCCGCCAAAACTTACCAAAATGCCACGAGCAAAGGAGCGAGGAGACCCACCTCCTCCCTGGTGGTGACCTTGCGCAGCTTGACAATGCCCTTCTGCAGCTCCGACTCGCCGATGATGATGGCCAAAGGAATGCCCCGCTCCTCGCAGTACTGCAGCTGCCCCAGCAGCTTGGGGCTCAGCTTGTACGAGTGCTCCACCTGTTGGGAGAGGGAGGCACCCCGCAACGATGAAGGAAACGCTGCATGGGCGCATTTCACCCAACTTTAAACAAAAGTAAACTCCCCCCCTTTTTTTTTTATTAAATTGTTTGGCTAGGACGCTAAGGATGTCAGAAAATCAACGTTCCTCTAAAAAAATATGAAATTTCTAGCAGTATTTATCTTGCGAACCACATTTCGAGCTTATGGCGTCGACCCCCAAAAATGAAGCATTTTGGAATAATTTCTAACCGAAAATCCACCTCGCTGATTAAATATTGCACTAAAAAGTTTGCCGTTTACTTTTGAAAGGGTGGGGAAGGCGGGGAGGAAGGAATTTTGGGAGAACTATGTTTTAACAGTTAACTTTAAAAAAATATTGTTTAAAAAAAATGTTTTTTTACACGACGGCATAGAAAATCGGTAAAATCTGTGTGACGGTTACGAGGCTCATAAATCCGGGTCTGTTCTACTTCCGGGTGGAACATTTCTAGCGGAGTGCAAGTTCGTCTGCTTCTTTTGCAGGGGGTTTCAGTGACGTCAGAACGCCACTCCGATTGGCTCTGACTGAAGGATAGTGGGCAGACCTCAAAGCAACCTGGCTTGAGGTCTACCCACTATCCTTCATTCAAACCAAAAGAAGCAGACAAACTTGCGCTCCGCATACTTCGTCTTGCCGTAACTTCGCAGACGGCACATTTCTACAACCCCAGGGAGCCAATCAGCGCAGCCGGAGGGACGCACGTGACCTCACTTGTGCATGTGGTGCCGTCAACGCCACGAGCGAGGAAGAGAGAAAAGACTCTTGTACGAAACTTTGAGCGAGACTCCAAGGGGGACGACGATGACATCCGGGACACACAAAATAGAGTCCGGGTGGGAGGGGAGTTACTCCTTCCCCTCTCCACCGACTGCTTGGGTTATGCCCTCGCCCCCTTGCCTTTTGTAAGGGCCGCCGCATGCCTCCGCCGCTCTGACCAAAAATCAAAAAGTCAAATTTGGGGGTTTTACGTGCCAAACCTACGACGGGCATCTGGCACGCCCCAGCGGAGGACTGAGGATTAATTTGGACCACCTGGGGATCTTTTGACGTGCAACCGAAAGCTCGGTTACACGGCACCTTCTCCGCAATAAGCCTCCGTCAGATTGCGGGCACCTCGGTCGGGATTCGCACCCGCCACCTAGTGATCCGTAGGCCGGCGCTCTCGCCTCGGAGCCACCGAGGCGGCTCGCCGCTCCGACCAGCTCTGAGGGGCTGTAGCATTCGTTCTTTATCGAATTGCGGCGAAGCGGAGCCGCGCGGCTTTAGCACACTTGCCTTGAGCCCATTGTCCCACAGCTCAGAGCAGATCTTCATTCTCTCCGCCACAAGGTTCTTCTGAGCAGAAGCCACAAACACCTCCGTCTCGTTCGTGCGCAGCTTGGTCTGTTCCGCCTGCCGAAACGCACAACACGGTTGATTTAATCAGATCCGTAAGGAACACGTACGTCGAAGTTAAATATAAACGGGAACCGGGTTAACACTACAGACCACCCTCACATTACGGGGGCCGTGCAATAAATTTTGTTTGAACAGGCCCCCCTGCGCTATCCATACTCCATTCACCCCTAAAGGCCGGTTTGCAGACTCGCGTTTGAGTGAGACTGGTTGTGTTATGACAGCTCGTTGACAGGTTGTGTTATGACAGTGTTATGACATACATGAGATGGTATGTACATTTTATCTCGCAAATACTGCAAAATAACCTTCGCTCTAATGAAATGCAGTTCCAGAATAACCTTCTAGATGGCGCAGGCGCGTTCACTCGTTGCAAGAGATTGCGAGAACTGGGTCCTAAGCAGAGGCAAGTGTGTGAATGTGCCTTTAGAGGTCAAGTTCACCACCCGCATCGCAGAAATGCGCAATTGTTCTCTGTCTGCAACGTGCGACGCGAGCGCGGAAGATGCGATTGCTTGCAAAGTGCGGGAGATTTCGTAGGACGACGGAGATTTTTGCAAATGTAGCAGCGATAACGACAGGAACAACAGCATCATTAAGCATTAATCACAATTCAGCAATTAATAGATGGCTGCCATTGATAAACCCAATTTTTTTTTTCTTTTTTTTTTTTTTGACATGCAGTGTTGCTTTAGAATTAAATTGACGTACAATCATAACAAAACACGGTACTTGGGCTCTCCCCGTTTGTTTCAATGAGCTGAATGTGAACAAAGCGAAGGTGAAAGTTTGACCTAAAAACTTATCGCAGATGGTTGATTCTGTACGGCACCTAATGCTTTGACGAGCCTTACACGAAAGGTACACTCCTATAGCTCGCAATTTGGAGAAAGCTCTTTGTTCTGCAACGGGAGGCTAAGCTACCGATACGACAAATGCTCATCTCTCTCCACAGATTCGAGGTGTCTACTATTCAAAGGCCTTGACGCAGAGGACAGAGACCCACCTTGGCCTTGGCTTCGACGAGCGTGAAGATGCGCTCCACGCCGACGCTGATGCCGACGCAGGGGACGTTACGTCCCTTGGAGTCGAACATCCCGACCAGGGTGTCGTAGCGACCGCCCGCTGCCACACTTCCCACCGAGACGCTCTCCTTTGAGGGGTCCCCGATATCGTTGTTGATGGGTTCTGAAACGCCGCAAACGTCGAGAGCACATCCTTCGCAACATTAAAAAGGTACCGAGGCGTTTTTTGATGTTGTCTCTTTATGGTGAAAACTCAGTCTAGCACAGCCTTCCCCAAGACTGAAGACCATTCTCCAGCCTCAAATAAACCGCATAGAAAACAGCAAACAGGGAGGATGTTCACATTAATGGAAGATTGTGTTGGTAACATTGACTTGCAAATGTTTGTCATCCCTCGTCCCAAGTTTGTTTTATTCTTTCTTTTGCCAGTCAGGGAGGACGTACCTTTGAGAACGGCCTCAAAGATGATGCCGGTGTAGTAGTCGAGCCCACGAGCCAAGCTCAGGTCAAACGAAATCTGAAAAAGAAAAAAGATAAACACAATTCTCAAGGCATTTATCCGGTCTGGGAGGTGAAAGCAAAGGCCCCGACGGCCACGCCCATCGCCACTGCGATTTTTGTACTGGCTACTAGTCCAGACCATCAATGTTATCGGGTATATTGGCAACTCCAGCAAAATCAATGCCGCGTAGCTGCAACGCCAAGAAGCTCAAGAAAGGAGGTCGTTTTGACTCTGTCGTCTGCTATCGCTACTTGGTTCTCGTAGGTAGCATAGAAACAAATATTGTTTCCAGTAATTATTTTTATGCTTCCACCGTCTCATTCCTTTGCACTGACTATAGAAGAAGGTTTTTAGCGGCTAAAAATCGCTTTGCTTTCATATGCAGCATTGATTTTACGCTGCAGTGCAAGAAATTTATGGTGGTCCGCGTGCTGAGTGACGAAAACAACCTCCTTTCGTCCGCCTTTTCGGCTGACAAGCATGCCCCCTATAGTTCGCTGGAGTCGCGAATAGGCATATGCATTGTTTATTTTTAAGCTAAATTCGTATACAATGTCCTGGTCCCTGAAATTGTCTACTTAGCCGCAAAGAAAACAACATTTTGGTAAAAAGCTGGCACATTTACGATTCAGTGTACCACATACAGAGTCCTTGTGATTTACCGAAGGAGATCAGAGAATGGCGAGCGAGACATCGCTTTGAATTCGAGGACACAATCCTTTTGTAATTTATGATTCGAGAAGTATAAAAGCATGCTCGCGTTGCACGAATTTACGAGTGACCATAAAACTTTCAAGCCACAGGCTTGTGCCGGTGCTCATGGTCTATACTGTCAGGACCGCTTATAACGAAGTTGAAGGGAATCTGATATCACTTCGCTATATCCGCTACTCTGTTATATCTACACTCCATAAAAGTAGCACGCAAAAAACAAAAATGGCCCGCACTGTCATGGGCACATGTTTATCATGCCTGCAAAAAGCGGTCGAGGCTTCCCTCTATGCGCTCTCTGCAAGATCTAAGCCGCTTCTCGCCAACTGCGTGAAGCTACAATCGAAAGAATACCCAGCGAGCTACGTACGGACTGCGTCCCGAGCCTTAACGAAAGCTGCGATGACCGCTGTGGAGGAAGCCATCAATGGACGGCATTCTTTACGTTCATGCGCACTTCGTCAAGGATGGTGGCACGGTTCTTGTTTCATGGAGGTTGCCTTCGCCTTCGTCGAGGTGCCGGCAGTGCCAGGACTCGTCATCATTGAGTGGCGATGAGTTACCGAATCGGTGTTTGTGCTAAGCTAGACTTTCACGCAGAATGCGACCACACCGACTAGCAATGCCGACACGGAACACGAAGCAAACTAAGCGCGCACGGCATTGAGTTCGCGCTCAATTTTGCATTTCGTCGGCATTGAGAGCCTAGATTTAAGAAAGGGGGCAACTGCTCGATTGGGGTTGCGTGGTTTGCCGGCCGCGTTTACAAAATGAGCTGCACCCTGCAAGGAGTCGAAAGCGTTCACCGTCTGCAAACGTGTCCGCCTCTCCACCCAGTTTCCTTGCCACGCTGGCCACGAGACAACTAAATGCAGGCGCACTTGAGCTGATCTGCTCAGGAGGCGTTCGCCATTAAAATGGAGTTGCCCCCCTCTTTCAAGTCTAGACTCTTTCCGCGGTCTTCGTCGGTATGTCATAGGTACGTTGTCGCTAGCGCTAGACCTTCGCGCATGTGATGGCGACCTCGTTATAAACGGTCGCAACAGTAACCACGTTCACTACCAAAACATCCAGAACCAGCAATTTTTGAAAATAATAGATCTATGCTCTAAATCTGCTCGCCGAGTATCATGCTTTGTGTCTTAGAGCCATTTTTACTTGAAGCATTATTTAATTCGCAGGCATTTTTATGTAAACAGCAATAATCGTTTCTGTTCCTGCTGCACAGGATGAGTGTACGAGATTTGTTTTTGGAGCTTTAATTTTGAATAAATGGTATACATCTCTGTATGTTATTGAGTTCAGTGTTGTGTACTCGTGTAATTACATCTGCTATGATGTATTAATAGATCTATGTTATTGGATTTCACTTTGGGAAACTCGTGTCAAAATAAATTGAATCTCTGTATCAACTAAGACTGTCAACACTGTGTCTTTCTTTTTACTAGTTCAATCTCACGTAATTACTCACCGCCCACCTCCCTCCCCACTCCCCAGCCGGAATAGCTGGTTTTTTCTTTGAGGAAAGGTGGCAACCCTAACCCCAGTTTCATCGATGGACCGAGATACAGCTGCCAATTTTCTCCAAGACCACCTTTCCTTCTGTGGATAGGACAAAACATACCTTGTTGGTAATGTTGTACAGGTCGCAGTAGTCGAAGAACAGCTTCATGTCATCGAGACCTCGCTTCATCGAAGCATTGTTTCCAAGCTCCTCGGACCGGAGGGCGTCGACGAGGTCTCTTCCACCTGCCAGACGGGCGATAGAAACGAGAAAAGCTAGGTCACCAAAACTGCAAAAGAGACTTTTCGTTCACCGTGCGGCCAAAGATACAGAGAGACCAAAACATTTCGGAGTTTCTATACTTCGTTTCACTCCAGGTCTGATGGCAGCCAGAGCAATCCTTCGGTCGGGCGTCGCCACTGTAAGCCCCTTTGCAAGGAGCACACAAACTTTCTCGCTGTACCCCCTTTTCCAGTGCTTGTAACCCACGCAAAAAATGCTGAGCCACTGGGACGCGTGCACGGCACCTGATATACGGCAGAAAAAATCTAGTGTGCATGCTCAGAACACAGCCCAGTAGACAAAGACGGTAGTGTACAAAAGACGCTTTTTGGCATGGTCTACACCGTCCATGTGTTGAAATGTTTGCCCCAGGGGCAACAAAACATAAGTCATCAAATAAATTCCCAGGTGGCACAAATCTTCAATGAACATTTTAAAGCGCGAAACACATGTACGACGAAACCGTCCGACGTCCGATCAGGCAATACGACGGTCGGACGCAGCTTGTTTCGTTGTGTCGCAACGTCGGAACGGCGTTGTGGCATGCGATCGAATGTCCAGAGGTGGTTGCGGTGGTCGGATGGCCGCAGCCAATGACGACGCAGGTAGCGGGAACGTCATGAGGACGTCACGTTTTGGGGAGCGGGCTATTCAGGAGCAAGGATACGGTTGGTTGTGAGTCCCTCTTCCTTTTCTCGGCATTTCCGGGGAGAAGAGGAGAGCCCGCCCAGAGCTTTATTCAGCACTCAAAATGGGAGAGGGAACGCATGCCTGTACCTTGCACTGCATTGCCAAGAAAAGTAGAAGGGCGATCGTAGGAAGTCAGGCAACATGCACTGGTCATGGAACTGGGCGGAGCCGATCAGAACCATCGGAACGACGCAGCGCAAGCTCGGTCGGAAGCATATGTTTCGGACATGAGCCGGAGCAGCGATCGGACGTCGGATCGGACGGTTTCCTCGTACGTGCGTTTCGGGTTTAAGGACATGCATGAAACGTCAGAACATCCGGAAGCGTCCCCAGTACCATGGGTGCTGTCACGAATGCTATGGCTGTCGCAATTCTGGCAGCTGACTGCAGAGGCATTGAGGAGAGAGACGAGCAGATGCACAACGCGCTGTCGGTGCGGCACCCCAACCCCAGAGCCGTATATGTAGAGAGCTTGGTCACTAATTGGTAAGGAGAGGGCGAAAATAAGGGCACATCATTGGCTGAAATTGTTTAAATGACCTTGGGCGCGATGATTGACAGCCCTTGTGACCAACACTAGCGGAGGCAATGAGTTTTACAAATACCCTCCAATGCCAATTTCTAGGTAAGGACGTATTCAGATATTTCATTTCAGCACGCTAGAGTTGAAATTTGCGACTCATTGTAACTGAAAAGGAAATGCATGTGACGTTGTCATCACACCGACATTCAGAACGAACTCAATCTTTCTTTTTATTGCTCTCGCGCCGGCGACCGCTGTCGCGGCCACGACTGAGTGGACAACAAAAATGCGGATTCAGCTCTGTGAGAATTTTGACCTTAACTCCGAACGCGCACCCCACATTCACAGTTGCGCCTCGTGTTTCAGAAAATTTTTCTCGTCACCTTTCCTGGATTAGTAAACGCACTTAGCACCTTGAAACTCCGCTTTTCCACCAATCTCTTAGATTTATACATTCATGTACTTTCAGCATCGTCCAGAAACAAAAAAATACCTACGCCACAACACGCAATTCCTTTAAGGTCATCTCACCACGTTCTTACTTCACCAGTTCATCACGGGGGGAATATGCGGTGCTGGCGGCACCGCCGCTTTCGCCGCTCCACCCCGGCTCCCGCCAGGTCCTCCCATGGACCAGACTCTCTCTATACACGGCTCTGCCGAACCCTAGGCCACTTAGTTTCTAGCAACTGGCCGGTTCAGAAGCGAGCTACAGCAGAACAGGCATCCGGAGTATCTACCTCCACCACTCCACCATCACCAGAATTGCGGCCAGCGACATCTCGACGTCGTTCCCACGTCACAAAGCAAGAATCAACGAACCAAAAAAGACATGGCAGTGCACCGGTGGCAGACACGTCCCAGGCACCCTGGCAATAATTGATGGTACAAGGACCACATGAGATGCAGTGGGCCTTTGGGCAAAACGAGCGAGAAGCCAGACCCACCGTTCCGAACCACGAACTGACTGATCCGGTCAGCCACGTCTTCGGGCAGCCCCTTCTCCTCAACCATTTCCTTCCGCACGTCCTCCCAGGGAAGCTGCAGAAAGTTACATGAAACGCCGTCACCCTGCAGACCCTCGAAAAACAGAAATATTGGGGTTTCAAGTCAGACCACCCCCAAAGACACCTTAGGCACGAGACCAACCACCTCGTCTTCCACATGGTACACGGAGCGCAAGTTTGTCTGCTTTCTTTGCAGGGGCTGTGGTGATGTCAGAACGCCGAACTCTGATTGGCTCTGATTGAAGGGTAGCGGGTAGACCTCAAAGCAAGCTACCTTGAGGTCTACCCACTATCCTTCAATCAGAGCCAGTCAGAGCCAACCAGAGCTCGGCATTCCAACCTTTTTGCCCCACAGAGGCTGAAACGGAACTTTTAGACCACGGAGCCAGTCCTCGAGAAAGATGGCTCCCATATCCACTATAACTTGTCAAATATGTGACCTATTAGCTTGTACCTCGATGTTAGCATGTATCTTTCTCACAACCAAGAACATAGTCAAGAGCTTAGTGCAGTTTTGTTTACTCTATTCTTCTATTCTAGCGTCTCCCAAACTGTGGGTAGCAATCCAGAAGGGAGTCACGACAGATACAGCTGGGAATTGCAAAGCGGCGCAGGTACCTCAAAGAATACAAACTTGGCTTGTCTGTGGTGGTGTCGACGAAAGCAGAGTGCAAGTCGCCGCTAAACATTAATCCAGAACTGAGAGTTGCAATGTCTAACTTTGTCCTTGTCTCGAGAAGCCATGCGCTTACAAACAAGGTCACTTTAGTCATTAAATGCAATCATTTCAGCTGGCACAATTTCTTCTTTATTTTTTTTGGTTATGGTTGTTAGCCCAGTTGATTGACTCACTGACGACATTAACTGCCAGAGAAAATTTTAGCGTCAATTTCGTGTATTACTGTTTATGCATGAAATTTGACAAGCTTGCGACATCACGAAAAGCCAGGAGGAGGGGGTTGCAACGCGAGATTGTCTGCCTTTCGTAGGTCGCAGGGTACCAGAGTTTGGAAGCACTGCCCTATTCTAAAGACAACCGAGAAGGCTGAGCGAGCGACTCGTGTGCAGGATGATGTCTGTTGAGGACTGTCATTGTCTACCTTTTCTAGGGATAGTAATCAATAAAGTTCCATGCCCTCTTTGCTGTACCTAGAGTCCACCGGTCGCCTGTGCCTCCTTCGTCGATAGCATGCTCCCTATCCTATGACTATCTACACAGAGCCGTAGGCAGCATGGCTGCGCCTGTAGCCGTGTGGCTTGTGAGTCATAACCAAGTTCTAGCTGTAGCCAGTCCTAGCTACAGCTAGTTCTGAATTCATGTCCACATAACTGACTATGGCAGAGGCTAGGTGTGTCACGTGTGTCACGGCGACTCGCCGCTTGCATAATCTGCCATCATTATGGCAGCATTGTTGTTTCTGCACCACTTCACGAGGATGGCTCTGAGAATTTTGACACAATTTTCGTGTCCACTTTGAATTCTGCTCGCGTGTCTCGTTCGTACGTAGAAAGATAGATATAGCTATGGCTACGTCTATCTTTATCTTGTCAATAGAGAAGTTGATTAAATGTCTATGGTGATGTCTAGGCATTTGAGAAAAGTGGGTTTTGAGCTCGAAGCAAATTCAAAGCAAGTGGCAGTATCCTCCAAATATTTTCTAATTAAAAAAGTGAAAGCCGCTTACAACTCCCTGTAACGCCGAATTAGAGCGCAGCTCGAGGAGGAGGGAAGGGCGCTGGGGGGGGGGGGGGGGGGTTAGACTAACCAGGGGGGGGGGGTCACGTGACCTTGGAGGGTCACGTGACCTTGGGGGGTCACGTGACCTTGGGGGTCCCATGACCCCCAATGCCTATGATGTCATCACTGACGTCACTGATGATGTCATCAGTGACGATGACGATGCGGCTACCGATGACGTCATCAGTGACGTCGCTGACGACGTCATCAGTGATGATGACGATGACGATGCGGATGCCGGTGACGACATCAGTGACGTCACTGATGACGTCATCAGTGATGATGACGATGACGATGCGGATGTCGGTAACGTCACCGGCATCCACATCGTCATCATCACTGATGACGTCACCGGCATCCACATCGTCATCGTCACTGATGACGTCACCGGCATCCGCATCGTCATCATCACTGATGACCTCACCGGCATCCACATCGTCATCGTCATCATCACTGATGACGTCACCGGCATCCACATCGTCATCGTCACTGATGACGTCATCATCACTGATGACGTCACCGGCATCCACATCGTCATCGTCATCATCACTGATGACGTCACCGGCACCCGCATCGTCATCATCACTGATGATGACGTCATCAGTGATGATGACGATGACGATGTGGATGCCGGTGACATCATCAGTGTCGATGACGTCATCGGCGGGGGTCACGTGACCTCGAGGAGGGGGTCACGTGACCTCAGGGGAGTCACGTGACTTCGGGGAGTCACGTGACTTCAGAGGGTCACGTGACCTCGGGGGGTCACATGCCCCCCACGGTCACGTGACCCCGGGGGGGGGGGGGGGGGGGGGGGGGGCTCGCGCGGTGCATTATGGGTAGGGTTCCGCGTTTTCGGTTTCTATTTTTTCAAAATTCGGCGTACTTTTTTCGGTGTTTATTTAAAAAATCAATTTTCGGTTTTTTTCGGCGTATATTTATGCCCACAAAAGTTTTTCGGCTTTTTTCGGTGAATATAAAATAAACACCAACGGACACTGGATCAGATATAGATCCTTCTAGCTCTGATATTGGTGATCACTCAAAGAATAACGGCACAGATACGCCGGAAAATAAATGAACTTTTTTATTTAAAAAATGTGTGCAACTGTTAAAAAAAAAAATAAAAACGGAAGCACGAACAAGTCGGATACTAAGCCTGTGTCGAAAAAACGTAGAACTTCGCCTTGGTACATCAGGATTATGTGATCTTATTATAGTGCACATACATGTACTTTTCCACGTTCTCCTCGTTGATCCGCACTTTTTCTTTCCTGTTAATATGACCCTGAGCTTCGAGAATGCCCACTCAACGCTAACACTGGACCCTGGCAGGCTGAGGAGATGAAGCACTGCCTGAGCCATAATCGGCCAATCAACCAATTGTGACTGTCAAAAGAGACACGTTGCGACGTTTTGTAGCACAACACAACATGCAGTGCTTCCTCCAAGTCAGTCTTCCTTACTGCGAGTTCGAAAACACGCTCGTACATGGCGAAGTCATGGAGCATTTCGGACTTCACGGTCCGATCGATGATCGCATTAAACCAAAACGTCGTGATGGCATCCGTGTATACCATACATTCGGACACGTTTCGTTAGACACTGTCGTTCCACCTTTTCGCCACGGCTCTGCGGTACGACGGGAAGGTCAAAGTGACCTTTTCCGCTTAAAACTGAATTTTAGAAAAGGAATTCGACATACTTTTATCGGTTTAAACGGAACATGCCGAACCTAAAAACTGACCTTTATCGGTTAAAACCGAATTTATGAAATTAGATTCGGTGTACTTTTTTCGGTTTTTATCGGTTTAAACCGAAAACTCCGAACCCTAATTATGGGACATTTCCCATGATGCACCGCGCGGTTACGTTGACGCCGACGCCGCTTAAGCCGGAAACCGGCCCCTAAGAGCTGCGCTCTAATATCAAATAGTTTCTCTAAACATTTCACTACTGAAAATGCTTAAATTAAACGAAAGACCAGCTGAACTTGTGAAGGTTGTTGCCAAGCTTCCACTTGTCCATTTCTAATCTAAGTTTAATCTAACTACATTTATTGACTGTGGCCTCCGAAAGTATGATGCCTCCATTGGGATGGCATGTAAATGACACATTTGACTTAAAATTAAACCTTTATAAATGCCAAACTATACCTAATCGAGGGGATTTGTACATATTATTGTTATACAGTCAAACGCCTCTGTAACGAGGTCTGCGGGACCGGCAGACTTTTTCGTAGTACAGGTGACTTGCTTGTAGAAGTTGAACACAAAAAAATTTATCACACCAAACCCAATTTGTGATATCGCATACTGATGCATACACCAAACACGGTCTGAGCGACATCAGAAACAAGGCTTCATATGTTGACAATTGACTTATCAAAAGGGGGAACGGTGGCACAGCTTGGTGCACGGGGGGCAAGAGCTCACGCTGCAGAATCCAGTCAAAAAAATCAAAGTCAAATTGGACGTTTGAGTGATTTATACAGCGTAAGGTTGGTCTGCCAGTAGGGGCGACACTGGTTTACACTGTAGATGAGCAATTTAGCCAGTGCGGTACAACCGCTAGCCTGGGGTCTTTAACGTGCACCACGCAGTAGTGATACACGACCGCACGCCGGTACGATGCTCATCCAGTCATCTTGAATTCGATTACCACTTTTTTTTACAGCGAGGTTGTTTATGGTTAGTATTCTGTGGAGGTTTCATGTGCGTCAACAAAAACTTGGGTCCCGAATTCTAAGCGAAGGCGCTTCATTCTAAGCAAAAGCTTATTGGCCTCGAGATCGACCTAGAGGTGGCGCTACGGTTGCACTATCATCATCATCAAAGCGGGGATAGGAGAACGGCCGCCCCATAGGCTCTCCACGGTCGCGCGCGAGACGGCGTAGATTCTTGCGTTTATTTTGCCGCATACTATCGGTGGGAAAACAATTCTAGCGGAAAAGGATGCAGTACTGTTCGGTGCTTCAGTGAAGATTGAATCGTGTTGCCAGTGTGCGGCCCAAATTTATATAATCGCTTCTGTGGGTGCGTCGTCTGCTCTAGGCAGACGTTGGAAAGCATGGATCACCACGACTGATGCCTGTCTCCAGCTGAACTGAAATATTTATGTTGAATATTTGTTCCTTCTAAAATGGATGTATCGGTTCATCAACGTGGGAATTAAAAAAATAATAAATTCCAACCCAGTTATGGTACTGTGGGCTGTGAAATCGCAGCTTCTATGCTTTTTGTAACGTCTAGCTTTTGCAGTAATATAAATATTTAGAATGAAGATAAGTTAGAGCTGTATTGGAAATTATCATGCTATTGAGTTCCTCTGCCCTTTTACTGTGCCATAGTGTGGGTAAGCTTTTTGGAGTCTGAACAAATCTACTGCATTGCAATGAGGAGAGAGTGTCTCCTCTAGTTAAGATCTGCAAACTGCATGGTTGGCAGGACAACTGAAGCAAGTGAAACAAACTGTTCTAATATATCTGCCGTGACTGTAATAAACGAATGTAACCGAGCAACGCAACAATGTTCCTATAACTAAATGCTTTCTCGGTAGTGTGGGTTCCCACGCTACAATTTTCTTGGTGAGGGCCGCGGATGTCAAGAGGCTAATACTTCAAATTTCTGGGTAAATAATCTTGTATTCAAACACGGTAGACTTTGCAACCCAAACAAACGACGCGCACCACGACACAGACAGCATCGGCAGACAGCACGACACAGACAGACAGTGCGCAAACACGGGGATACTGCCGTGCGTCGTCTGCTACGGGCGCACGCTCAGAAGCATGGATCTCGAGGGCGCAAGCCCGTTTCAGGCTGAGCTTGACATTCTTATTAAATGTTTTATGTTTTTTTTGCCGTTTCTTCTTACTAAAGGTTGTGTTGTATCCTGACGAAGATCGGAGTGTCGGTCGAACAAAAATGCAGACAACAGATATAGGACATATAGGAGATAGGCGGTGGCTTTATTTTACTTCGTTAAAAAGCTGTTTTCGTAGTAGAGGCGTTCGTTCTAAAGGCGTACGACTCTATACCAATATCTCTTCTTCAATCACATATGATTAACACAAGCTGTCAGGCATCTCTGCCTAACATATGCCCATGCATGCCAGTTTAATATGGAAAATTTTACCGCAATGTAGGTATCAATATTTGCACAAGCTTCCATTCCTGTTTAAACATACCAGGCGCGCGCGTGCGCTATTCTGTTTCGAAAATTAACTTTACTCCTAAACACGCGGCTGCAATAGTCATACTTTTCTAAATGTTCATCCTGGCAGGTTAGCCCCGTTGAGTGTGCTTCTTACCGAGCACCGGTGCACTGCGGGGAAGCCACACCCGCGGAAGCGAGCTTCGCAGATGTTGCTTCCCCGCAGTGCACCGGTGCTCGGAAAGAAGCGCACTCAATGGGGCTACCCCGACACGATCAAGGCTTCGGAAAGCATGACTATTGCAGTTCATCTCCAAGCAAATATCGAATAGCGTATTATAAGCTACTATTTGAGAGTTCAAATGTTCGCACAAATCTAGTAATGCTACAACATGAAACGCCATACATAGCCTGTCAACAATCGTCTTTTGTAGGTATGCTATCTAGTGTTGACGGTAAACCATTACAAGTAACAGCGTCACCGGTAACGCATTACTTTTTTTGGTAACATGCAACGTGCTCGTTACTTTTTCAAAACAGTAACAGGTAACATATTTATGTTTCTTATTTTGAGAAAAGGAGTTACGTTACCCGTTACTTATTCCTCCCAAGACCAAAAAAAAATACATTTGAATTTTTTTCGTGTTTTTAGGCACCAAGTTAGTCTGTCAATTTCTTTGTTGTTTGCATTTCGCTGCGTTTTTTCTTGTCAGTATTTAGGTGAAACCGAAAGAAAAATAAAATAATTATATTCAGTTTCTGCATAGACATATTTTTTCATGAAATATGGAACTTATGTATACCTGTAACGTCAAAACAATAAAACATGTAATTCATAATTAAAAAAGTAATGCAAAAGTAACGTGCATTACTTTTTATCGGTAACAGTAACGCATTCTTTTTATTTTGAACTAACATCTCTTTTGTGGAGTAACGAGTAACGTATTTCGTTACTTTTTTTCGGTAACGCCTACAACACTGATGCTACCCTACCTTCAAGTCAATGTCTATAGTACACGCTGTGCTGGCAACATACCATCTCCAAAGCAACACAATCAATACTGCTGCTAGTGATTACGCATTCTTCAATAAATGTTTCAACTGCCATGGTAAATGTAGAGTTCCAGGACCCCCGTCGTTCACCCCGCATGCATCTTTACTCCCCCCCCCCCCTTCCCACTAAAAACAAAAATAAAAGAAATAGCTGGAAAAGAGTGAAGTAAATAGAGAAAACAAATTGCCTCTTTGTGCCTACCCTTCCTCTTCCCCCTCCCAGACCCCTGAAAATTCAGTCATTCCCTCTAATTTTATTTTATGGGGAAACCCCTGGTTGCTGCTGTTCATACACACACTAACATCTATGTCATCCTGTAGGAAATACCATGGCATGATATCACTGCTGTGCCAAATCCACAAGCATGCCATTGGGAAGAACAAGCTCACCTTGTCCAGCTTGTCCACCGAAGAACAGATGGTCTTGAAGCTTTCTGCCGGAACGCCGCAGAACTCAAACATCCCGTTCAAGATCTCCCGATGGTTGACCTTTTTGGCACAAGCGACACACACGGAGGGAGTCAAAACAACGGAAAACACGCACAAATTTTCTGTCCATATATATTCTCTCCTACGCATTTCTAGGTATTGTGCCTTTTTTTTGCAATCGGGTTTAATATGCAGTTAAATTTTGTCAATCTGGTCATCTGAAAAAAAAAAAAATAATAAAAGAAAAAAGCTCCAAACTTACGCCTGGCTCCACCACTTTATCCGTGGCAGAAGGTGTTTGCAAAGCTCAGTGGGCACACTTCTAGTTCATGCTGTTCTATTCTAGTTTCCCGGTTAGCTAGAAAACGCAAACACACGTATTGGCTGGGCTAACCTCAGCAGATGGCAAACAACGACCATCCATTCCGGCGACGCCGTCTCCTTTGCAGTTTCACGAAACGTGCACCCCAAAAAAAATTTACAACAAACGCTCGAGAAAACAACACCATAACGTCATTGTCCCGAGTGTTGTGGCTCAATGCTTCTTCGACTGGCATGTTTAGCATCCCACATCGCCCATGCATCAAATGTTGTCCCATAGAGGTGACAAACGACGCCGCAGGTGCCCACGTGTTGCGTCGTCGGATGTTGCAATCCCGGCAGTTGGTGCTGCATGTTATGGTAAAAAGAATGGGCAAACGCGAGTGTCGCCGCCCTTCATGGCGTCCCGACTCCTAGCTGCCGTAGCTTCCCCGAACCGTCAAGATGAAAAGTGGCATGCAATGGAACAGGCATCTGCGTCGCCACCAGGATCGGGGCATGCAACGATGTGATACTTTTACGACTTCGTCGGGCAGAAATTGAGGGACCACTTCCTAGGACGAGGAAAAGACACCGGTCGAAGATGCGTTTCGGGCGCCATGGCGGCACCTACCTTCACGACAAAGTCGCCGAGTCCCAGGTCCCTAAGAATTTCCGTCAGGACGCGGACGCACTCGACGTCCGGCAGCATTGGGTCGAACTGCCCCGCTATGTCGAAATCCTGCCACGAAAAGACAACGAGAGAGCAGTCCTCGATAAGCTGCAATGACACTTAAACTCAAGCAGTTTACCTATGCAAAGCACGTATAGAGCATCTCACTTTGTGACAACTACCGTCTTACAACATCAACTGAATGAATGTTGCTGTATTCTTTTAACAACTTTCGTAACTACCCAACCAAGGTTCCATAAGGAAACTGGCATTACTAACAGAATAGTCAAGCTGAGTACCATAGCATTTCGTACAGACTTCTAAATTGCATGTAAGAGCACAGGTGTGCTTAAAATCATGCAACTTCAAAAAGAAAACTACTGGAAGCCACAGAGCAGCAGTCATTCTTTTGCAAGTTAATAACACCAGTATCATCCACCTTTGTGTTGACTTAAAATCATGTGATTGCAACAATAAAACCATCTGTATGTGACGCCTGCTACTCAATTACTCAATTTCTAAGTGAGAGATAAAAAAAGGAAATAAACTGTTCCTCTCGACCTGCACCACCTGACGGTATAACAGGTTTGATCCAATATAATATAAAAAATGAGGGCCGTAATTGACCAAATGAAAGCTTGTCGATGCAAATCCTTTTCCGAAGCAACGACAGGCCCACTCAATCATGCTGAACCACCAGCCATCAGAAGGCACATGCCTAAGCCATGATACCTACATGTGTTAGGCATGTCACCGCTCATATGGCACCCCCATGGTACCATGTGAGCACCAACACCTTGACAAAAGGGCGCAAGTACTCGCACACTAGTAGAACATGATACCGGCATGGTACCACATTTTGGGAGCATGACTGTTCATATTGTATTCACATGGTACCATGTGAGCATTGGTATGTCTATGAAAAAGCACTAGTGCTCACACACTGGCAGTACACAATACCTGTATGGTACCAGGTTTGGGCAAGTGACTGCTCACATGATACTCACACGGTACAATGTATGTATGATTATTAACCTGATGGAAGGGTGCCATTACTTATACACTGATAGAATACAATACCTGCACAATATCATGTACTGGCCATGTGACTGCTCACATGGCACCGTGCGAGTATGGGTCCCTTGACGGAAGGGCACCAGTACCCACACACTGGTAGAACACGCTAATACCTGTATGGAACCATGATATGGGTAAGAGACTGGTCACATGCTATTCACATGGTACAATGAGTACCAGTAGTACCTTGATGAAACTCACCAGTACTCACACATTGGTAGAACATGACACCAGCATGGCACCACGTTTTGGGCATGTGGTTCTTCACATTGTGCCCACGTAATACCACCTTAATAAAAAGGCATTAGTACTCACACCCTAATAGATTGAAATACCAGGATAGTACCATCTGTTGGGCACAAGACAGCTCACAATGTATTTGTGATGAGAAAAGATGAGGGGCAAGGGACGAAGAATATTAGAAGAAAAAAAAAAGCAAGGCGAGGTCAGTTGCGGTTGCTTGAGACTGAGGACCCAAGTGCACTCCTGCAGACCTTGCAGGTGCACTCCTGCAGATGCACTCTGCAGACCTGCAGGCCACTACCTAAGAATTCTGGACTCGCAAAGCAAAATCATTGTACGGGTCGCCCATGGGACAAACCAAGATCAAGGAACACGGAGGTGGTGGGGACACTCAGATTAGTGTACTGCATATGGGAAGTGGCGTGCAAAACTGGTATGTCGTGTCACTGTAACTGAGAGCAGACTGGTTATCCACCGCAAACGCAAATTGGTGCCATCGTCCTTCATGACCCCTTTCTTTTCCTTTTTTTTACTTTGTAAATAAAGATTTTAGTAACCCGATGAACATGGTACCACCATGCAAGTAAGTACCTCGACAAAAGCGCACCGGTACTCACACACTGGTAGAACTCCCGATAGCGGCCCCTGGTCATGGCGGGGTTGTCCCGCCGGTACACCTTGGCGATGTGATACCGCTTGATGCTGGCGATCTTGTTCATGGCCACGTAGCGGGCAAAGGGCACCGTCAGGTCGTAGCGCAGGGACAGGATCTCTCCGCCCTGGTCCGCCAGGTCGTAGATCAGCTTGCTGTCCTCGCCGTACTTGCCCGTAAGTGTATCCTGCGGAAGGAACGCAGCAGACGTCGAGTTAGACGTCGCGAACGACGGCAACACGTCGAAGAACCGACGGCCACCTTTATCTCCCAAATCCTCTAATGCATTAAATGCAGTATTTAAGGTCTTAAAGGGCAACTCTGCTTCATTTTTGTTTTTGAAAGAACGATGCAGTACTCTTCAGTATCATCTAGAAAGACCACATGTCAAATATTACGACGTAGTAGTTCTGTCTGAATGTTTCTTAAACAGTCCGGCAAACTTTGCAACTCGCCGAGTTGCCGAAATTGGCTGACTACGGTGGGCAAACTGAGGCACAACCAACAGCGTAGTCAAGGCTACGGCACGGGCGTAGCCAACATTGAGCTAAACGTCCTCATCATTGCCCCCTTTTGCTTGTTTCTACTTCTCCGGGCAAAGCATAACGAATAATGGTAGCAACGTTTTCTGTTGGTGCTCAGCGGTGTCCACGTGACTGGCATAACACGCCTGCGCAGGATGCTTCTGAAGAGCCGTCCGGCTGTCTCCTGCGCCACAACCGCCGTCGTCGTCTCACTGTTTGTGATTATTATCCGGCGTTCCAGTGTATCCTTTGTGTTCTTGGCGCACTCTCCTGCCGTAAGCGATCACGAGGAAGCACAATGTGGCTGGTCACCCTCAACCGCAAGCGTGCAAACCTGCCTATACAGTCACCACAATTTTGTTGCAACTTGGAAAGTGTTTCGGGAAAGAAATCCTTAATCGTAACTTTAGCAGTACTCTTAATGGGTTACTGTGCGGCTGCGAGTCACCTTGAGCTCGAAGACAGGAGTGTCGATGGCCTCTCCCCCGTGTCTCTTGAAGCAGCTCACTATCGTCTTGAAGACGCGCTCCCGCAGTGCCATCTGTGCGGGGCCATGGTCCCTAGTTCCCTAGAAAGAATCGTGCCAAGAAAGCAGTCATCACCAACTCCCTCTAGTCAGTGTTCCGAGTTCCTTCAATTGCTCGAACGAATGTCGTCTTAAAAAAACTTTCAGCCTTTCCACTCTGGTGAAGAAGGAAGACCAGCGGAGCTGTACAATGGAAAGTAATGGCCACCCACAAGTCGGCAAGCCAGAGTGGGAAGGCTGTCGCCATCTATGAGTGACGACAGCAACCTGATACGTGGCTCATAGATCGCTCATAGATGGCGGTAGGTGTTCAGAGTTCGGTGTCCTCATTTCTTTGCGGGGTGCACGATCCTGGGAAACTAGCCCTTAACAGCTCCGCTGTAAAAACTAGCTGCCTCAACGGCACAACGCAAATATTACAGCGATTAATATTTTCGGGGTGGGGGGAGAGGGGGAAATGTTTTTTGTCACAAACCTTGCCTTTCTGCGGGCAGTTTAAAAATATGTTTTCTGACCAGGGGCAATCCACAATGTTGTATGTTGCAAGACACAAACATAATATTGGCACTTTTTATGTTTCACTCGTACAAAGGAATGTCGAATGTGCAAGTTTATTGTCTGGGTTGGCACCCTGCATAAGCCCATTCTATCAAATTATGGTAGTTATTTTTATCTCTGCCTTTTACATGTAGGTAATCAGCAATTGCTCGTTCATGCTAACTGTATCACACTCCAAACAAAACACGAAGGTCTTTGTGATGAAATCGCAACTAAAACAGACTGATACGTATGTCTATATCACATTACCAGTTGATAAACCAACAAGAGAGAGTTTTCGAAATCTGAGGCAGACATACCTTGGCAGTTTTGAGGACAAACTTGTGGGGCTCCTCATCGGTGAGTTGCGCCTTCAGCTGAAGAAGCTTGGCAACTTCTTCATCAATCTACATCAAGGGTAGATACGTAATCAACACCGATTCCCACAAACGAAGGGGGACCCAAAAGAATCCAGAACTTAATTTTAGAAAATTTTGTATTTATGTTCACACGCTAAAATTTCCAGCACCTCCAACCCCGGCCGATGTAACGCACTTGCCAAGACGTTTCTTTCCAATCGTTAGAACAACCTTCGAACTCGTTGGTCTGAATGTCTTTCAGAGCTTCTCCCGCTTTCTGTTCCACATCGACAAACCCTTTTTCCCTTTGAAAACTTTTTTTTAATTTGGGGAAACAATACAAAAGTCACATCGGGTGATATTGAATGTATAGGGAGGGCGGGGCATGAGAATCGTGTCATTTCTGGTGAAAACTCCCAACACTCAGCGCAGTGTCGGCAGGCGCATTGTCACGGTAAACAAATCAGTCTCAAAACAACTGGGGTTGTCATCCTGCCTACGCCTCGCTTAGTGCTCGGCTTTTTTTGACGAAAAGAAACATCGACCCTGTGCCCCATTCTGCCTACTTACCTGGTGTCGCCCCGTGTCAGTTTGTTGTTTTTCCCGGAATGAAGAGTTATCAAACTAAAACAGACTGCCGATGCAGAAGAGGTGAAACAAAAATCGCGGCAGAAGCCCTGAAAGGCATTGAGGTTGACGAGTAAAGGTTATTTTGAGCAGCGCAAGTAACGTCACGACAAGTGTACTGCATCATGCGGAGAGCACTGTGAAGGTGACTGAAATACAAATGTGTAAAAATAAATACACAATTTTGTAAAAATAAATTACGGTTTCTTTTGGGTCGCCC